TCATAGACACTCATGTGTATAAGAAAGAGCTTTATATAAAGAGTAGTTGTATATTAAGAAAACATCCCAGCCCAGTCCAGATCAAGTCCATAAGTCCAATATTAGCCCATGTGTCCATACCAGTTTATGAATTCCTCTTTAGACACACGCAACACGTACAATGATGCCAAATGCAGGAAGGTCACAGGCCAGTGGATGGAAAGTCTTGTGGATTCAGTCCCTGGAACTGGTCTGGGTCTCGGCTCCCCCAGCTCCAGGACTCTGGTTCCATCAGCGTAGCTCCATATGACTTATCATCAGGAATGTCAAGCAGAGAGAGTTCCCAGGATCCTCAGGAGAAGGCCACTCCCACAAGGAGGGATCAGGATGTGACCTGATTGACAGGCTAGACTCCACCCCTTCATTCTTATCAATTTGGCATGAATTGTGTAATTATCACACTGGCTGTTCTTTCACAATTAACCTCCAGGTCTTTCTCTCTTGGAGCAGCGAACTGTTTGACCTACCAACCTTTTGTACTTAACCATTACATCACGAGGGCTCCTTTAATAAATTTATACACTTGTACTATGGCCTTAAAATGATTACAATCGATACACATTACATCCTTAACAGACAGATGGCCCTTAGTCACTCTGTGCCTGTGTTGTTGAGTGTGAAGCTATGTGTGGTAAACATCGGTAGGGCTCATTTCCTCTCCTCTGTTGAGTTTTCAGGTTAGTTAGAGAGGCCAATTGTTTGCACATAAAACTTCACATTTACCACGAGTAAAATGGAACCTTTGGATCTTATCAGCTCGTACCCCAAGTATCCCTGTTCCTCCTGTATCATTAAATGACCACACCATCCATTTAGTCATTTTAACTAAACACTGAAGAGGTACACAGCAAGCACCCTTGATTTTCTTCCTCTTGTCCAATTCTCTTCCATAGCCAGTCTGGTATCGAGTCCTTATTCACTAGCTGAACTCCTGAAAGACTCTTACTTATCTTTAAAGGTGCCGTTCAAACATTACTTCTTCTAGGAAGATAAGGGAAATACTTCCAAGAAGAGCCAGGAGTTCCACTTTCAGTGCAACTATAGCTGACAGTAAACTTTTATTTATAAATAATCAGTATAGTCCTTGAAGCCAGGGAAGCTAGCTTAGTCCTCTTTGTTGAACTAGTACCAGCCACATTATATCCTTAGTAATTGTTATTAAATAGATGCATTGATCGAGGTAATGAGTAGTGTAATTTCTGGTGGTTATGAATTATCCCCTAAGACAGATTATGAAGGGCCTAAATACTGAGAAAAGAAGTGAGCAAGCGTGGTTGGGCCTGAAAGTCCACCAGGCTATACCCGCCTGTATCCTATGGCCCAGTTGTAGGTGCACCTTCTAAAGTGTCTCCTTAAACAAAGCATGCCTTTCTCTGTTTGCAGTGCAAACTACTTGAGGCTCCCAAAGCCATTTGTGGGTGGCTGGACCAGATCCTTGGGTTGGTGGGACAGGAAAGTAGAAGGTGCCTGGGTGCATGACAAGAAGGAAGGCATTCCCGATAGAGGGTCAGACTGGAAAAACACATAGGTCATGTTGAAGAGAAGGAACTGGTAAAAGAGAATGACAAGGAGCTGTGACATTCTGTTCCTGGGCTGTCATCCTCAGGGGAACTAGCAAGCTCTGAACCCATGTGGTTTGTTAGGGTCCAGAGATAAGCTGCGCGCGCGTGCACACACCACCACCACCACCACCCCACCCCCCAGCCGAGAATTAGGCCTCAAGTTTATTAAAACAGTCACTTGAAAAGAAAGGATGTGGGTCCCTCTGAGAGTTGAGAAAAGGACTGCCTTGAGCATAGATAAGACACACTTTGCTCCTGCGGCAAACCAGGTCCCGCTCTTGAGTGGAGATGAGGACATCATCCAGGGGAACACTTCTAGTTTTTAGATGGCACTTTCAAAGGGAGGAGGTTGTCCCCCTGCAGGTGGTCACCTACATTCCAGTTAGTTCTTCAGTTCGCCCTTAGGTCTCATGCATGTCTCTCTCCGTTTTATCTGGGCTGCTGCTCTGGGTCAGCATGTCTCAGAATTATCTTGAGTACAGTCCCGTACTGGAGTCTGGCTTCAAGATTAAAGTGTTCATTATGCCAGTTCTCACAGAGTCCTTTGTTCCTCATGTGTTTCACAGGGTCTTTTGTTCGTCCCCTTAGCAGACAAGGCAGAAGTCCCTGTTCTGTGGCTGTGGGGAGCCACCAGAGTGGCAGGAGGACATTTGGATGAGTGTCTCAAAAAGGAAACAGATACGTTCTCTCAAGAGGGAGGCATTGGTTCAATAGTATGAATTGAGTAAGATGGAGATCAGGAAATATCATGGGATTGAGCATTAAGGCCTTAATAAGACCTGTGGGGCACCAGCCCCCACAATCAAAAGGGTCCAAGGGGCGGTTATGTAATTGAGGGGTAAAATTAAAGAGACATCAGACAAGATAGAGCATGTGAATGCTCACCTCCGGGACGGCCATGATTTCAGCAGCCAGATCCACACAAAAAGAGAGAATATATTTCCATCCAAGGCTTATATACACTAAGGGGGCATGCAAGCCCCCCTAATTGCAGTTAATTACATGTGTAACAGGAAAGGGTTGTACAATAGGCATACACTTGACAGGAAGGGGACAAGCTAAGGGTGTACACGAAATAGGAAGGGGAGGCACTCGGGGCATGCATGTGATAGGGATGCACAAATGTAACAAGATGGTGGACTCGAGTCAGGATGGCAGCCTAACCTTGGTCAAGACCCTAGAGTCTTGATGGCCTAACAAGAGGTGGCTGGACCTTAGGATAAGTCTTTGGGCTTTCCTTAAGGGGAACAGTCTATTATCCTTGTCAGAAGGGTGTGGCCTCAGAGTGGGACAGACTATAGGGTCTGATTGCTCTAGATGGCTGATCACCTTTAAGCAGTTAACCTCTAAGTGTATAGTCTGTGTTTGCAAACAGCACCTGAGGTTTGGCATGATTATGGGGGGATATCGTGGGGAATAACTTTTGTTTCCCACAAAGACTATCCAAGTGGTGAGGGCAGTAGTCATAGTGGAGTGGGCTAAAAGGTGAAGGAGGGGTTGGAGGTGACTTCTTCAAGAAAGGTGACCTTGGAAGGGGTAGGGAATCAGGAGAAAGGTTCTAACTGGAAGCAAACAGAGTGGCGAAGGGAAAGGTTCCTGTGATACTGAAAAGTACTCAGATGAGGCGAATAATCTGATTTGAAGGGAAGATGAAAGAGGCAAGGATTTGAGAAGCTGAGATTGGGGCTCCAGGGCAAGTAGACAGCGAACGGATACTTGCCAGGAAAAGGGGCATCTCTCTGTGGTAAAAGGAGTGAAGATGGGATTGATGTGTGGGCGGATGTACAACAGAATAAAACACATCCTCCCAATTGCGGTGTTTGCGCCCATTGTTGCAGCCACTCTGCCAGTCTGTCTCACTGAGAGCCTTCCTCTGTGCTGAGCCTCTACCAAGCATGGTCTCCTTATCATATGTCTGATGCCCTCAGCCCAAGTCTTGATGTCCTCGTTTCCAAGGAGCCTTCTGGCGGTACTTCTTTCAAGACGGGTTGTTTGTTCTCCTGGCTGTCCACAGTATGTTCAATGTTGTTCACCAACATCATAATTCAAATACATCAACTGTTCCGTATTCATTATTTGACGTTTACATATGAGGCAATTAAAAAAAATACAGGGCGTGAACCAGGCATGCTTTAGACCTCAAAGTGATCTTCACTAAGCAGATTTGCCCATTGAATGGCAAATCTTTTTATTGTTCTCTTTATTATTATTTTTTAAATCAATTTATTGGGGCTCATACAATTCATCACAATAAATAGATCAATTGTGTACATCTATACATTTGTTGCCCTCATCATT